CTTTAATGTAATTGCTTTTATTACTTAATAAAGTTTCTACTTTGGCATAACAAAATAAAAAAAAAAAAAAAAAAAAAAAAAAAAAGATTATATTAGGAAGTTTCTTGCTATTATTTCTTTTTTTTTATGAAAATTTCTAACAATATTTTCTATTTTTAATTTATCATATGATTTTTTTTATTAATTATTTTGTGATTTTACACATATTAATTTATACATTACCATTATTTTACAATTAAAAATAAATATTCTGTATAATTATTCATTTTTGAATAGGGCTTTGACATATTAATTTGTATTATATTCTGTATAATTATTCATTTTTGAATAGGGCTTTGACATATTAATTTGTATTATTTTTTTTTTTGTCTTTTATTTTTCTTATACATAATCTGGATTATTATTCAAATTATTATGCTAATTCTATTTGAATTAATTACACTATCATATGCTAAATATGTACAAAATTCAAAAATAAATTAATTCCTTTTTAAATTTAAATATCTACTATACATATACAAAATTGGCTTAGAACAATTGTAATAAGTAATTTGTTATTGTTAATCTAGCAGCAAAATTATTATCTTAAGAAAAAAATAAATGCAATGAAACTAATCAGTAAGCAAACTATTTTAAGTATAATAAAATAGTATTTTTATTTTATATATATAAAATATAATATAATATATTTGAAAATATTTACTTTTTTTTTTAAAACAAAAACTAGACATATAGGTTATTTGGACTAGAAAACAAAAGAAGTAAGAATGTCTTTAGTTTGATTGGATCTGTACAAATAAAAGAATCAAAAACCTTGATGATGCTTCAAAATACTACCACCTATGCATTCTTTTAAATCATATTAATAATGTTTGATCTGACTATTATTATTTTTTTTTAATATTAATAGTGAGGCCATGTTTTTATCTTTATTGAATATTCAATTGAGATTTTATATAAAGTACAAGTCTACTTTTAAAATATTATAGAAAGAATAGAAGCTCAGACTAATTTATCTGTGACCTAAACCAACTGGAGTGGCCAAGGCTTATCTAGATTTGGGTGTTAGTAATAATGTATAGAGGATTAGTTTGATATTTAATCTATTGGATATACTAAAAGTTAATTTTAGAACGAATTGAATTAAAAGGAAGAATGTGTGATACAAAAAGGACAGAATTTAATAATGAATTAAAATTAGGAGGTTGGGCTGTAGATCTTGAAATACAGTAGGTAATCCAAATTTTGTATGATCTGACTATTATAAAAGGCAATAAACATGATTGTTATTAGAATTAGAAATGCCTGAATATGTTTAAAACAAATCAATTCATAAGGCAATATTTTTAATAGTTATATGATTTTCAGAAAATTTTTACTAAACTTGCTAATTTACTCTTTAAAAAAAACATAATAGTATTGTAGTTACAATTATAATTTGATGTTATGCTATTAATACCAAGTCTGATAATATACAAACTTTAAGCTAAATGTAAGAAAGTATTACTAATAAAGCTGTAAATAATTTTTAACAGAGTTTTTATTTTTATTTGTATTTAGAACTTAAATAGAATTCATATACTAAAGCTATGAAATTTTAGTCAAAATCTGACATAATTATAAAATAATTAAGAACAATATTGTTACTAGTATTCAAAATGATTAGTTTAAAAAGCCTATTAGACTTTTTGGACTAGCCTATTTTGAACCCTAGTTGTTACTAATCTTAAGTCCAATATTTTTGTTTAATCTTAGCTTTAAATTCATTTAGCTTTAGTTCTAGTTCAAACTCAAGTTTATATGTTTAAATAACAATACTAAGTTTTTATAAATTTTAAGAATTTTGTTGATTTCAAAGCAATATAAACATAAACAATTAAAATATAAAGACATTCTATATTTCTGAAATTTTTTCAATTATTATTACAAAAATCATGTGAACACAAGTGCTAAAAGTCAAAATTTTAATAAATATTTTTCTGCTTACAGGTACATATAAGGAAATATAATAATAGTATTATTAAAAATAACTCATTTATAATTATAACCCTGCATGCTTGGTAGTTTGAATGCTTAAAATAATTAGTATACATAATATTTGTAAATTAATATATTATATATATTCATATGATAGTATAGATTTATTACTATTATATACTAGATGTTTGATAAGTTTCTAGACAGTACCTTTTTTATATTTCTAATAGTATTAAATAAAAAAATTTTTTTAATTACTAAATAAATTATTATACTACAGTTAGACCTCTCTAAATACATCTTTCTTAAATGCATAACCTCTTTAAATGAATATAAATGATCTGGTTCATTAATGAGTTTAATAAATAAATACATATTCTTTATTCTGCATATGCATACTATTTGCTTATATCCATCTATATAAATCTTTTTATAAATGCATATTACATGATCATTAGTCAATCAAATTGAAGTAATGCTATTAAATATAAAATATAAATTATCCTTCTTTGGCTTATAGATTGTATAAGTGCAAAATAATGTACAGAGGCATTATTTTGAATAATTGCCAAATTAGTATTAATTTAGACACCTCTGTGCATTATTTCATGGCTATATTATATTTATTTTAGATAAAGTTTAAAATCAATTTTTATTAAAAACTTAACTATTTAAACTTTATATTTCAATTTAAATAAAATTTTGGCTCAAATTTAACTAAAAAAAAAAGATCATATCTTTATAGTCACTAATTTTTCTATATTTTAGTACACTTACTCTCTGAAGTTTAGATGTTATACTGAATTTAAAAATTATTTGGTTAGTAAGAATTATAAGTGTTAGATACTGTGTGATATACTTGAACTTCAGCAATCTGCTCTAAGACAATCATGATAGTATACAATAAAAGATAAGATATATGTGAAAATTAAAAAAAAATAAACAATAACATGATATGAATTAAACACAATAGATGTATATATATATACATATATATTGATATATATTATATATTTTATACATATATATTGATATATATTATATATTTTATACATTTATACTATTAGGTTTTTCTTTGTTGCTCTGGCCCTAGTCTAATTTTCTTTATCACTCTGGATCCAATTAAGTACAAATTAGTATTCTAAATTAAACCAAAAAAAAATAAAATAAGCAATTAATATATACCTATTTCCTTATTTTTTTTTTGCTCTGGCTCAGAAACTAATTTTTTTTATTACCCTAGCTCTGGATCTAATTAAATACAAATTACAAAATTAGTATTCTCGCACTTGATTAGAAAAAAAATCAAAAGTATTGTATATGAAATAAAGTCAATATATTTATCATATTTTCATGAAATAATACCTATCTGTGCATTATTTTGAATATATGCATATTAATAAGAGTACATACATGGGCATTATATCAAAATAAGAATTGATTTTTTAATAAACCTGTTTTTTTAAGTAATAATATCTATGCTATATATATGAAGTGTATGTTATTTAGAATATTATTTTGAAGCCTTGCATACTATTTTAGAGAGGTGCAATTTTTAAATAATGCACATTTTTGTTATTTTATAAAAATATAATATTTTTTTTTTGTGCTCTGGTTTGAGTCCAATTTTCTTTGTTATCTCAGTTCTAGATCCAATTTAATATAAATAACTATTCTAAAATTTTATAAATATAATAAAAAAAAATATTCAAAAATATTTAATACATAAACTTGGTTGATCTTTAGTATAGGTGGGCAAATATGTTTATTATTAATTATAATATATATAAATTAACTATTTTGAATCAATTTAAGTAAATTTACAAATAGTTAGGGTCAGGGTTAGAGTTATAATATAAATTGGCCTAAATTAGATGGGTTTTATATATTATAATTTTGTAATAATTTATATATGCCCACTTATACTAAAGGAGATCTATAAACTTATCTTAATTATTATGAAAATTATAAAAAAGCTCTTTGATATAAACATTTTAGTATATTTTATAATAATAAAATCACTCTTATATTATTATTATAAATAATAAGTTAGATTATCTTAAGTAGGCAAAATGAATAATTGTTGAATTACAAATAAAAAAGAAATGTATTTACCTGACTTACAAAGTTCTTGATATCTAAAAAACTAGAATTTTATTATATTAATCAAAATGTCTTCTTTGAAATCTAAAGAAACTAAAACTATTTTAACAAATAAACAAAGAAAAGCCATTTTTGCATATAAAGAAAAACTTTCTCAAATTACTCATACTGATCTTATCAGTTGGGTAAAACAAAAAATAGATCTTAACATTCATTAAAGTACTATTAGCTGTTTATTAAAAAATAAAGAAACAATAAGTGAAAACCTTTTTGCAAAAAAACAAAAGACAGTTCAACATCCAGAACTTAAAAATGCATTGATTGAATAAATTTTACAAAGTCAAGAAAGTATAGAACTATTTGACAAAATTATAATAAAAAAAGTAAAAAATTTTGCTAAGTTACTATATATACCTGAAAATGATTTCAAGTTCTCATATAATTGGCTAGACAAATTCAAAAAAAACATAACTTGAGATAAATAGTGAAACATGAAGAGGATGTCTCTGTAGATGATACAGTTATTGAAGCTGCTATTCCTCAATTAAGAAGTATTTTAAAAGAATATAATCTAAAAGATATTTACAATATGGATGAGACTGGCTTATTTTATTAGTATTAAATAAATAAATTATATTGCTATATTTGTACATAATAGTAAGCTAAGTGTAAATTCAAATTTTAACTTTTTAAAAAAATTAACAATATTATCTGAAATATTACCTAAAGGTTTAAAATAATATGCAAAGGGCATTATTATATGCAAATATAATATAACTTATCATTAATACTTATCTTAATTAATTTTTTCTTTTTTAAGACTAAAACTAGACATTACTCTAGCAACTATTCATCTTAAAAGAAAAAAAAAAGTAAAATATAACTAACTATAGCACTTTGTGCTAATGCTGATAAAACAGATAAGCTAATGATATTCATTATAGATAAGTTATCTAATCTACATTGCTTTAAATCTATTAAATATCATAATCTTGGTGTTACATATGATGCAAGTAAAAATGCATAGATGACAAGCATGCTGTTTTAAAAATAGCTTAAAAAATTTGATCAAAAAATGGCTGGTTGCAAAGTAATTCTTTTAATTGATAGTTTAAAATATCATTTCTATAGCAACTTAAGACTGTATAATACAACTATTTATATCCTTTCTCTATATACAACATCTTGTATACAACCTATAAATACTAGAATTATTATATCTTTTAAGCATCACTATCAAAGTTATTTTATTAAATAGTTACTTGATTAATATGAATCTGAAAAAAGTGATGATAATAAAATAGATATTCTTACTGCTATAAAATTTATTGCCCAAGCATAAAGAGAGATATTATCAGAAACAATACAAAATTGTTTTTAGTATACAAAAATTCTTCCAGTTGGTCAAAGTAATGATGATAATAAGAAAGAGGAGGAAGAGGAAATCACCTTTGATAATGATAATAATTTGATGAAAGAATTGTATAACAATATAAAAATGTTCAATTTTTCAAATATGATAAATTTAGAGAAATATATTAAGTATTTAAAGATAAAATATGTAACTGAAATACTAAATGACCAGAAAATTATAAATTAAGCCACATGATCAGAACCTAAAATAGTTGAAAGTGATGAGGAAGATAATAATATAGAATTACCCCAAGTTGCTCACAAGAAAGCATTAGATGCTATACATTTATTAGAGTTGTACCTCATGCAACAAAACCTTAATAATGCAGCTTAAACAGAGTATGACTTAGCTTTATCGAAACTGTTTAGGTTAGTAAGAAAATTTCAGATTGCTTTGTTTAAGCAACTAAGTATAAAAACTTTCTTTGAGCCAATTATATAATATATGTATGTAATAAAAAATTTTTATAACATTACCTTTGAAACTCCCTATTAAACAAAAAATTTAATTAGTTAATTAGGCACTAGAACTAATAATAGCTCAAATTAAATATAAAAAAAAAACTTATCTTTTTTTATATTAGCTTGTTAACTTGAACCTAATTAAAGTTTATTAAGCTTTGTTTATTTTCTCTCTCTTCCTGATTACAATCAAGCATATTACCAAAAATGAAAATTAATTTTAGATCATTTTATTGAATTTTAATTGGCTGCTTTTTGCTAAATTCAGTTACATTTTGTGGCTTTTTGCAATAGTTAGCTATGACAAATAAATTTTTTTTTATAGATATGAAGTTAAATATTTAAAGTTTTATAATCAACATTGATTCTACTGAAATTAATCCTTTATTTCAATATGTATCAAGATTCCAAAAATTTATAAGTTTTACTATTTTTTTCTACTTAAAATTTATAATTTATTTCACTGATTAGTGTATAATTCAGCTTCTGATTCATGTAACTGAAGCAAAAATAATCAATTGGTTTACATTTTTATATCATAAAAAGGCCAATCTATATTTTCTATTTTTGATAATATGCCTAACTAAATTAAAAAGCAGAAGAGTTTTTAAATAATATAAAATTTAATTAACAAGGTCTTTAAAATATATATATTAAAGTAAAGCTAGATTTTGAATATTTTATAAAAATTTAAATAAAGTATAAAACACATTACTTTATTGTTTAAAAGTTATAAGGTGATTATATCTAATTCTGTAGATTTTTTTTTGTTACATATAAAAGTTCATCAAAAGATTGTATTTATTTATAACATTTAATATAAAAAATAAACAATCAATTTATTGTTTAACTATAAAATTTTTTTATATATTATATACTAAAAAATTTTTTAAACAATAAAAGTTACAACTCATATTATTTATAAGAATTTTAAAGCCACAGACCTAATTCTGTGGATATATAATGAACTTGATTTTTTATTTGATAAATCGATTAAAGTTCATTAGTAAAACAGATTCGTGGTATTAAGTTACACATATTTTAAAATTTTTATAAAATTTGACCAATATTCTAAATATATCTAATCATTTGAATATCAGTCAAAAATTTTATAAAAAAAAAATTTTTTTTTATTAGAATTAAATAGATAATCTGACTAAAAAGGTTTACTTACATTTTACAAAAATTTTAAATTACAAAAATTCCTTATTATAAACAAATATTTAAACATATGATTGTCAATTTATTTTAAAAAAAATTTGGTTTATTATATAGAATTGAATAGTATTTAATAATATGATTTTTTAATTTTATAAAAAAAATCAATTTTATTTATTTATTTTTACCGTTCGAAGGGCTATTTAAAAACAATATATTAAAAGGTATTTGAAATATATTGTCCTTCAACAATATATTTACTTTTGCATTATTTTTTACTCTGTTTTTTTGCCTTATTAAGAATCCACTGTTTTTTTCTTACTTTTTCATCTTCAATCTTTCTTTGTTTCAAGTTTTTTTTTTCTTTTAGTTCTTTAATAATTGATTTAGCAGTTACCAGAGTTCCAAATTTGAATATCTTGGATCAGGCTTGGGGTTTTTTCTCAACAGGCTGTTGCTATAGTTGTGGATACTTCATAATCAAAGCCAAAGAAGTTGTTCTGAGATGCTCTAATTATTGAATATATTCACACAATTTTTTATTTTTATTTTCAAGCTATGTAAATCTATTAATTCTTGTATTACATTCATGAGTTGGTTTTGGAGAAGAACTAACTGATTGAAACATTGCTAATGAAGGCATTAAACATTCAGGGTTAATTACATCAGGATTCAGGGGCCAAATGCCAGTTGTAGCGAATGTATGTCTAATCATGTTTGGTGTATACATTTTATGAAATGCTTCACTAAAAACTTGGGTGAATAAATATTTTGTAACTACTCCAAGATTATTATTAATATGATAACGATCTGATGCTTTGTCATATTCAGATTTAAGTTTTTTAAAAGGAATCTCAGATGGTTGAAATATATGAGTAGTATTTAATAATAATACATAAAGAAGAATATTGTTTTCTTGACAATATTTAATACTAGTTAAATCTATATGGCTAGTAGCTCTATCAAGCATAAGCAAGACAGGATAAGTAGAGAGAATCGAATTACTAAAGTGCTCTGTATATATTCTAAAAATATCTTCATGCATATATCTGGTTTCAGTAAATGCAATGACGGTACCTGGTAGAACTGATATGTCTGTTAATAAACCTTCAATTCCTCTAACACCTTTGTAAATAAGTAATGGGAGAATATACATTCTAGCTGCTGAAATAGTAAAGCAAACAGATATATGCTCTTTTGAGTTTCCAGTTGCAGTTTTGTGAATTTGCTAAATGCTTTTTTGAGCTATTACTTTTGCTAATCATGCAGAGATATTAAATTTACTTTTATCCATGTTCCAAATTCTGTCAGGTGTAAGACAGTTTTCATAAATAAGTTTTTCAAGTGTTGCAAAATGATTTTGAATAACAATCAAATTGGCTTTAGTGGCTCATGCTTTAGTAAGCTCTTGAGGTACATGAAATAAAATTTGTGGATGATTATGCAAAAATCATTTTCACTATTTGTTACTAGGCCTATTTTTAGTTAAATTTTTTTTATTTTTTGTAGTAAGCATTTGAACAACCATTGTATTAATGGCCTCTTTAGTTAGTCCAAACTCTAGACTTTGCATATTTAAACAATACTCTACTAACTCATTTTCTTCTTCAGCTATAAGTAATATAAAAGAATCTGGGCATTTTGGTGCATCTTTAGCTATAGCATCATATAGTGTTTGTTTAGCAACTCCATATTTCAAAGCAACTTGATGAATACTTAAGGGTGGAGCTGAACTAGTTTTTTTTTGTGTTTTAAGAAAATTTAAGACCACTTGGATAGAAGTTTAATAAGAGTTTGTATCCTTTTTTGTTAATTTTTTTGTCAATATTACTTGATTCATATTATATTTATGCAGGTATAAGCAAAATAAAACTTGTGTTGTAAACACAACAAAAAACACAAAAAACAATAAAAACAAGAAAAAAATTTTTAAAAGATTTAAATTTGTACATGATCATGTTGACTGGCTAATCTGAATAAACTTTAATTTAATATAAAATTGTATAGTAAATTGAAGAAAATTTTCGATAAAGGTTTTATAAAGAATTTCAAATAAAAAACACATGTTTTTCAGGCTTAATATCTTTTGCAAGTTCCATTACTACTTAAAATAAAAAAAAATAAAAAGCTATAAAATTCTATTTTATTTTTTTTTATCAATTTCATCAAAATTTTAATGTGATAAAAGTTTAGTTTTTTAAATATTGCAAAACATAATTTGAAAATAAAGGTAAAATCGATTCGTGAGAAAAAAAAATTGTTCATTAATAGTCTTATAAATATATATATATAGTATGTAACAAACTTTAATATGTATATTACAAATATTTAACTAACAATAAGGCTATAAAAGGTTAGAATGTGTTATCTATAGGATTAGGGATGATCCATGGAATTAGATATGATCACCTTATGTTATGTAAAGCTAATTGACTAAAGACAAAATTGAAAATGTAACTTAAAATTGAATATAAATAAATAATTAAATGTTAATAAACTTTGAATTCAAAAAAAAATTTTTATAAACTGCTTTAATATACTACAAATTACTTAAAGATTAAATTACTTAAAGGTTAAATTGCTTAAAGCTTAAAAGTTAAATCATTTAAAGATTAAATTGCTTAATGATTAAATTGCTTAAAGGTTAAATTGCTTAAAGGTTAAATTGCTTAAAGGTTAAATTGCTTAAAGGTTAAATTATTTAAAGGTTAAATTGTTTAAAGATTAAATTGCTTAAAAATTAAATTGCTTAAAAGTTAAAATTACTTAAAGGTTAAATTATTAACTAATAATTCTATTATGTAACATATATATGCTATAATGCAGCAATTTTATTGATTACTCTTTAAATGCAACTCTCCTTAAATGCATACCTTGGGTCAATCCTAATAGTATACATTTAGAGAGGTCTGACTATATATAAAAAAAAACATAATAATTAGTAATAATATAATCTTTTTTATTTAATACTATTAGAGATATAAAAAAGATCTTGTTCAAAGACTTATCAAACATCTGGTATATTTATATACTGTATACATATGCTGCCAAAAGAAAAGGTACTACAGAATTTTAATTATATTTTGTATTAGACATGATTTATCTAATTTATTAAAGATCATGTCTTATACAAAATATAATTGAAACTCTGTAATGTCTTTTTTCTTGACTAAATACTTTATTAGCTTACAGGTAACCTATAAGTAAACTTGCAAGTTTGTTCACAAGTATATCTGCAGATCAACCTGTTCAAGTCTATCCAGATAAACATAATCATAACTTGGATACCTGATCTATCTAGGTATATTTAGATTAGTTCTACCTAGGTTTAATCACTAATCTAACTAATTACAAACCTCTAACAAGTTATACAAATTTAGTATATAGCTTTTATAGCATATCTTTCTTAATATTATAAAATCTTTTAATCTTCAAATTATCTTTTACAAAGTTTAAGCCTATACTAATAACTCTTTTAACAACCTTGCAGACTCTTTAGCAAAACAGCATATATTTTTTTAACTTTTATTTTTAATTATACTAGTATTTATAATTTTTATCATATTTTATAATAGAAACAAAACTTTATTAAATTACTAACTAGACATTTTATTAAAAATATATACAAAGCATACATATTAGCAATATAGTTTTTACAAAAAAAAAACAATAAATAAATTTATCTAAACCATCTTATAGACTAAATCTTCTTTTGGTTTTATCTTATTATAACCAAAAATCTATATATTTTCATACAAGCTTTAAACTCAATCAACTTAAAGTTTTTTTTTTTTTTTTTTTAATTGTTATGGTGAGGTTATGCCCTTAAGTCTTTATTAGTATATTGGTTATAGCTAGTACAATTTTTATTATACATCATCAATCACTATATATTTATTCAGATATAGAACTTAGACATCTTTATCTGTGACCTAAACCTACCAGAGCTTTGTATTATATCCTATTTACACCTAATCTGGATTTTTGTTTCACTACTGATTATATTAGGTAATCTGCATATTCCTCCCATGTCTCACAACCTATTTTTCACAACTTCTAAATTGGTTCACCAGGTTGTTTGCTTCTTTTGAGCTTCCATCTTTGGTTTGTCCAAAAGGTGCCTCTCTAGCATATATCTCAAGTCAGATTCTTGCTATTACTACTATTTTCTCAATTCAGATACTGGTAGCATGTATCTTAAGCCAGGTTCCTGCTGCCACTGCTGGTTTGCAACCTTTCTTGGTCTTAGTGTTATTCAAATGGATTGTGCATTTAACCTGCCCCTTAAATACTCTCTTTTATAGTATAGTAGAACTATGTTTTGGAAATAGTACTTTTATTTTCTTCCAGCCATTGGCCAATGTTTCCTTTCTACTTAAACACATGAGAACTTATCTTGTATTTGCACTACCCAAAGCCAGTTTGCATCTGTCTGTATACACTGACCTACACAGATATCTGTATAAATCTGCATTCTCACAGATGCTCTGTGCTTGTTTGCAAAGGTCACTTCCAATTTAAATATCTCAACTTTGATTTGTATAGCATTTATGTTGGTGTGTTCCACTTGTTTCACTATAGGTTTCCATATAGGTATGACCAGAGCTCCAGTTTGGTATCTTTAGATGTACAGAACAGGCTACAACTTCTCTATATGTACAGCTACCTTTTATTTTCAATCATTCCATAGCACCAGAGATGCTTCCAATCTTGATAAAGCTAATCCTTTGTCACAGACCTTCTATGCATGCACTGCTTCTCTCACTACTTCAGTATATATTACCTTGGTATTACCTTTTCAATCAATTACTTTCCAAGTTAAATATAAAGATGTTAGTACTGCTCTGTCTCCAAAGGACTTATATACACAATACTTTATGTAACAGAACCTTTTATAACACTGTTGTTACTCGTAGTGCCTGCTCTTTGCAAAGTTGGTCTTCTTCTGAAAATTCCTTTTTCCATCATATACTGCACTTGGACTTAACCACAGGGCTTTATGTTTAATTACAGGCTCCTTATAGGTTATAGAGGCTAATGATTTTTGCCTTCAGCCAGACTTGAACCATTGACCTTGGCTAGAAATAATAATTGGTTTATAGTAAACCAGTTAGTTATAGTTTAAGCCAAAACAAATACAAGATAGCTTAAGCTAGTTTGAACCTTAGTTTAATTGTTAACATTATATATATATATGTATAATTTATAATTTACATATACAATTATAATTAATAGTATTTAAAAAAATAATGTATATATGTAAATAAAACTGATAATAATGTTAATAATAAAAAAATACTAATGTGAAATAGTGCTAAAGAATTTAGCATTTGAGTATAATTAGTAAAATAAAAAGTTAAAAAATAATGTCAAATATTATTAATGATTATTATGTATAATTACTTTTTGATAATTGATTTGAATAAATATATAATTTAAATTTTTTTTTGGTAGTATTGTTATCCAAATAGCAAACATGAATGTTCAAGATATGCTTGATGATCTTGTTAGATCTACTTCTACCTATACAGAATCTAATTTAAATACTTTATCAACTTGATCATTACAAGTAAATAGTGGTGGACCAATTCATTATACTAAAAGAAAAGGAAGTTCACAAATAGATAAATTTTTTAATAGATCTGAAATATCATAAGATTGCAAATATTGTGATACTAAATATGCTGCTTTAACATCTACTGGAACTTTGAAAGAACATGTAAAAAAACATCATCCAGATATTTACAAACAAAAAAACAAAAATCGAAATTATTCTTTATAATCAACAAGAGCAACTTGAACATAATAAATATTTAATCAACTGGATAATTACAAGTTTATAGCCATTTTTAGTAACAGAAGAAGAATCATTTATTGAAATGTTAAAAAAATTTAACCCATATTATTGAGTACCAAATAAATACTATATTAGTTCATATATTACATGAACATTTCAAAATTGACATGAAAATTTAAATGAAGATCTGCAAAATATTTCAAGTATAATCACATTAATAACTGATATGTGGACTTCTGAAAATAATTACTCTTTTTTAGAAGTAACTATTCATTGGATAGATAGTAATTGGCAAATATGCAAGTTTTTACTGGATATAATTCTTTTTTATGAATTACATATAGGTGCAAATATAGCTGACACATTAATGACACTTTTAATAAAATATAATTTAACTACAAAGATTATATCTTTAATAACTGATAATCATTCTGTAATGATTGTATATAGTTGTAAATTACATCATGAATTAGAGACCAATTTTAATAATTTTTTGTTTTCACATTAATGTTGTGAAGCATATATATTAAATTTAGCTGTACAACATGGTCTTCAAATACATAATAAAACTATTGAAAAAATTAAAATTTTTATGAAAATGGTTAAAAAATCAAATTTATTAATAGAAAACTTAAGATGATTATTTAGATTACAAAATCTTTCTTATTTGGATTCAGAAATAGATATAAAAATACAATGAAATTCTATTTATTTAATATTGAATAAGTTTTAAAAAATTCGAACACAAGTAAATATGCTTGTTGTTTAATATCCAGATGATTTTCATGATATACTATTTACAAATAATGATTGGACTAATATATATAAGTATATACTATATTTAATTATAATATATATTATAACAGTATATAAAATATATTTAACAATTTAATAAATTATATAGAAATTAATTTCAATTTTGGCACTTATGTATTTTGCAACTTTATCTTCATCTTCATTTTTGACAATTGGTGATTTTTATTTTACTTTTTAAACCTTAAAGCAAAAATTAGAATATAAAATTACAAATAATACCACACAAGATATTATTGCTGATTCTATTTGTTATAAATTTGATGAATATTATCTAAATATAAATAATACTATTAAAATTGCAACTATATTAGATCCTTGTGTCAAGTGTTCAGTTTATACATCTGGAGAAAAAATTAATAATACTATATTTTTATTATGCAACAAAATGACTCACTATTCAACTAATACTACAAATAGTATACCAAATTTAATTAAACTGTCTCTAAATAATTTAATATTTAATTAAAGTAATGCTCATGCATATTTAAGAAACCTTGCTAATTAATTCTGTTCAACTACTTCTATACAACCTAATATCAATAATGAACTAGAAAGATATCTTGCAATATCTACTAATGAAAATTGTGATCTATTAGAATAGTGAAAGGTTTATAAAATTCAATTTTCAGTTTTATCAGTTATAGCATATAATTATCTTACAATTTAGGCTATTAGTGTACTATGAGAACAAGTATTTTCAATTGCTGAACTTACTATTTTAAAGGTATATAACCGATTAGATCCTGAAACTGCCCAGGCATTATTATGTTTAAAAAGTTGGATCATTGAAAAAATTGGTAAAAGTATTAATAATGCTGATGTAGAAGATATTGATATTGATGATGAAATAAATTATTATTGTAAATAGGTTTTTCATTTTATTTTGTATTAGAATAATATTATTTAATTAACTATTAATATATGTATTTTTAATTGAAAAATTTACAAAAAAAACAGTACAACAAAGAATTAATCTTTTATTAAAAGAAGAAATTAAATTTATAGCCAATGCACATGTTGATATAAACATTATGCCACCAAAAATATAGTGTATTTGATACTACTAGTACTATTAAGAGTCATTTATATTTGTAGTTTTGAAATTGAAATTGGTCTATAATTATAAGACAAGTGATTTTGAACTTAAAAATGAAGTGAATTAACACTATCTCTATGCAAAAATTATGTAAAAATTTTCTATTTCAAAAAAATTATATCATAAATACATTAACTTTTCCTAGATAACCAAATTATCTTAAATAACATACTATTATATAAACTTTTTTAATAAGTCAATTAAGATAATAATAAAATATATATATAATATATATATTCTAATATATATTATAAATTTTTATATAAAGTATGATACATATTTATTTGTATTATATGTAAATCAATAATTATATATATTATAAATCACAGTTTAGCCACTTATCCCTTAAACCAAGAGGTTTTAAAACCAAATTAAACCAAGCCGACCAGATACCATCTCTAATCTTGACTGTAAGAGTATAGGAGCTTAACAATTAAGCTATGAGACCCACACCCTAACTTAAAGCTTTTAAAACTAAATATCTACTAAATAAGTTATTTATTTAATTTTTTTTTCATAACAGATACTCTTAAATTGCTTTAAATACAATTATTTTAACTCATTTATATATTAATATATATGCTTCAATATATAATACTCTCTTTAATATTATTTATATATCTATTAACTAAATATTTTTCAAAACTGAACTGGACTTAGCTTCTTTGCAATTCCAATAATTAGTTTTTAAAATATGTCATCACTTATGCTTTAATTATATATTATTTTAATATAATCTACATTTTATAAATATTATATTTAAAGAACTTATATCTAAGTTATTTATTGAAGTTATTTATAACTTTAACATATTTTTACAATTAGCTTTATAATTAGTAATCTTTCTATATATCAATAAACAAATATACTATATTGTATTAAATTCTCTAATTAGAAAAAATATAACCAAATTCTATTTAAATATTAAAACATTACTAGCTATACTAATACACAACTCTAACAATATAAAGTCTTTAAACAATATTATCAAGTTTATACATATTTATGCCTATATAGTATTGCAGATTAACTTTATTTACAACTTAATATATGTTTACTAATTAGTTAAATAATTAGAAAACTTAACATCTGATTAAGTTTCTAAATTAAATATAATATTCTTCTTAACTATATACTAATACTTTAAATTAAATAGATCTTGACTATTCTAGTTAGTTTAGATCAGTTAAACTAGTTTGAGCTCTTATTCTTGCATATAATTTTTGTTTTGTTATATAAAATCTTAGTTTATTTTAGTATATTTATACTAAAATATATAGTCAAAATTATTAATAATAATATGAGCAAAGTTTTATCTTAATATTAAAAAAATAATAATAATTGATATTATATATATATTTTTTGGTATTAAGGTGATCTTTTTGATCTTTTAATTTTTATTAATGACTTATTAGTAATATGATTCTATAAACCACTACAAAAGAGAGTACAATTAGTTATATATATAACTTTTTTATATTACTTATTTAAGAAGTCTACCTGAAGGTTCTCTACCAATTACTATATCTAACACTTCTGCCTAGATGTTCTACTTTAAACTTTCTGAACCTATAACCTGTATTAACTTACTAAGTTATATTCAGATGCCCAGATCATCATCTCAACCTTAGGACTAATTTATCCTTGAAGTAAACTCTCTAGAGCCTTTTGTATCTATTTTTACAACTGATCTAAATATTATTATAACAGAACTAATACTTATAATCAGGATTATATCATTTAACGTCTGTGCTCTTGTAGAGTTTACACAAATTCTAGCATTTACTTTACAGTATAACTCTGGTACTTTAGTATACTTTTGCTTTTTTATCTGCCTTTTTATCAAACTTCCAATTCAGATAGCCTATATAGAACTATGATCAGTCTATTGATATATCAGGTTAGCCTAATATTCTTTTCTTTTATTTTATTTTGGCAGCCTAGTTGATGATACCTTTGAGACTCCCAATCTGGAGGTTCTTGTCTATTTGGCTACTAGTAATGTTATCCAAATCCGATAGTTTGGAACTTAGTAGTATCCCAAATAATTTTACTAAATTCTACAAATATGTTGTAACCCAAACTATATTCGACCATGTTCTATATTAAATATAGTATCCCAAATTAAAATATTGTTATAGTGTCTTAACAATCTCTGGATATTTTATTATTGCAGAAGAAAAAAAAAGTATTATAATTTTTAAATTAAATATGTATTACTTAAAGTTTTTGTTTATAATAATATATCAATACATGCTAAATTTGTTAAATAAAAAATGTTTTGCTAAAATCATTTTTTATATGTATATAGCAATATTTTATTTTTCGCAATTATGTAATAATTTTCTCATTACTTTTATATCACTTCTATGTAATCAGTTATTACATTTCATAGATTTTATATTCTTTTTTATTTGCTAAAAACTTGCTTTACAGGAAGGAACTTTTTAATTAATAAAATATTCCTTATCATAAATGATATTCAGACTTAAGAGCTTGTTATCTGATTATTAAAAAATATAATACATATTAAAAATCTAATTCATCTTTACTGTGCATAAAGTAAAAAATTAAAGCAATTATCTGATATATATTGGTTTGATAAGAACTTCTATTTACTATTATCAAAGTAATTTAATATCTCTTGTCGAAATAATTGTTACATATGAATTATAACAAATTAATATATATAATTTAATTGAAATTCATTTTCTACTATAACAGCTAGATCAAAATCCATATTACTACTTCTTTGTATAATCATTAAAGTTTCTTTAGCATTATCTTGTCTGCCAAAAGTTGTATTAGATAAATTAGCAACTGATCCAATCTCACATTTTTCATTATATAATTGATTACGCACTATAGAATTTTCTTCATTTTCTTTAATAATTAATTTGTAACTTTCATTTGTTATATAAGCTGTTAGATTTAGTGCACTATCACATAAATTATCTTCTGATAAATCTTTTTTATAGAATAGAAGTTCTTTTTTGAGATTAGAAATATAAAATAAATAAATTTGAGCCATACTTTCTATTCTTTCTATTGATAATTATGATCGATATATGCCAAATAACTATTTTAAAATTAAAAAATTGTATTTACAATTTGCTTGCGAGAGTACAATTGCAAAAATAGGTTTTGCAAGATCTTGAAAATAGTTATAATTATCTTCAATAACACCCTATCACAAATTTGGTAATTTTGACATATCACAATCAAAATCAAATAGGTAATTTCTATTTTTGTAATGAATCATTTGTGTTACCAATTGTTGACAAGAAGCTTCATCATTATAAATACTTTTGTAAAATTTCATAATGATCTCATAAATTTGATGAAATGTTCCATTGCATAATCTACAACCTAAAAATAGATATCAATATACATATAAGTAAATAAATAAATAAATATATATATATATACCTTTATAGTTTGGATGAAGAAAATAGGCAAGTATATATGCATCAGTATCAAATTCAGTATATCTATGATTAAATATACTAATAGCTGATGCATGAAAAGTATTTGTTATAGGAATTCTGTTTATTGCAGCAGCTAGTTTTATCATTCTTATAAAGCAATCAGCAAGATTTGCTATACGAGATTTTAAACTATATATAATTTCTTTAACAGGTTTAATAATAGATGCAATTTGACAACAATTTGAATAAAAAATATTATTATTATCTTCTAAAATTGAAATAACAGCTTGATTACTAATTTTTGCTCAGTTATTTTCTAAAAGCTAAAATAAAATATATAATATATAATTAAAAATAATAATAATATTAATATATTAGTAATTAATTTTTATTATATATACATTATTGAATACAGGTTTTAACCTGATAATAGATATAGTAGTTTCATAAATAGAACCCTATTGTGTCTCAACATATATATCTAAGTCTCTATCACTTATATTCATATTTTTTATACTACCATAAAGAAGTTAACAACATATATGAGATTTTTTAAAAAACTGAACAACTTGGTTAACTTGTTTTAAAATAAGACTAACTTGTCGAGTTTTTATTATATCACTTGCAATAAGATTTATTGCATGAGTGATACACCTAATATTCCAAATATGTGAATAATTATGAATAGTTATTTCATGTGCAACTTGAACATTACCTCCATTATCTGTTACATATACTATAAATTTATTAGAACCAATTGTGTTAACGATTTCAGAAATTTTAGAGACAATGAATTTACCAGTTTGTTTAGCATCTAAAAAATCAGAAATAGAATATAGATATTCTTTCCAATCAGGTATTGAAACTATAAAATTGTATAATAAATCACTTGTTAGACTCGACCAACCATCAAGTGCTAATATTAAAATATATAATTAAATAAATTATATAATTAATATAAAAATAAATTTATTTAATTTTACCTAATGTTAAGTACTGTTCTTTTTCAAGTAAATTGCCAACTTGTACTGTTACTTGAGCAGCTTCTTTATCAAGTATATGTTCTGCTAATGTTAATTGTCCAGAAGAAGTATATTCTGGTTCAAGCATTTTAAGTAAATCACAAAAAAATGGATTATTGACAAAAGAAAATGAAACTCCTCCACTAACAAAAGCTTTAAGTAAAGCTTTATCAAATTCTCTACTTTGCTCATCTAATACAGGCTTGGTTATCTTAAAATTAAACTTTAAAGTTTTAGATTTTTTGGAAGTTAATGATGAACTTTTATTATCACTATTATCACTATCTTTAATATTTTCATTCTGTTTAGTAACTTGAATTAACCATTTTTGTCTTATATTATTAGGAACATCACCCTTACAATGCAGAGCTAAATAAGATTCTATCACAGAAGATTTACCATATTGCCATTTTTCTTTAAGACAATATTTATATTTAGCCCTATAATAACCTTTACTATCAGATTCTCCAAGATCAAAATTCTTCTAAATAGCAGTCTTTGAACATCCACCTTTACTTATTACTTTAACTTTCTGTTTTCTCATAACTGTTCTATTTTGAAATGTGGTCATTTCATTTAAAGTAATAATTTCCATTTCATTTTAAGCAGTATTTTTTATTTTATCTTAATTAATATTTGCTGTTTCGAAAGTTTCAGTATTTTGAGTTACTGTATCCAAAATTTTATCAGATAAATTTTGTTTTATAATAATGTTTTTTTAGTGATTAGTAATTACAAATTTTATAAAAACAATGATTAAATACATAAACATTTACTGAAAAACATTTTTATTATAATTGAGATAACAATGTATATATCAAAACAGCTAACTATTAAACTTTTAATTAGAATGATAATACATCAAAATAATAAAAACTGTTTAGTTTTATCAAAATAACAATATACATTAAACATTTGAACATATTAACCATCAAACTTTCAATCAGAACAATGTTACATTATCACACGAGTTTGCTCAATGACCTGATGTGCTCAAATACTATATATAATTGCTTGTTTGTTTACTAGGTTTGGAATGTCTAAAAAAATGAGACAGGCCTTTAAGTTTGGAATATAGTTTGAGATTACAATAAATCCCAATTCCAATCTTAAATTAGATAGAAATCCAAAACTGTCCTATTCAGGTTTGGGTAACATTGCTATTGGCTACTATGACTAGGTACTATGATCTTGGTATTTGTTTCTTTAGATTAGTCTTTACAGTAAGACTATTAAAGATTTGACTACTTCTTTACTTAGGTCTTTCTAAATAAACTTTTTGTTATCTAATTTCAACAGATTTATATTACTATAAGGACTTATCTAGTGTTTGCACTACCTAATTTGTTGGTTTATATTTCTTTGTATAACAGATTATACAGATGCTCTATAATCTGCCAGTTATGCTAGTATAACTATTATTATAGGTATCCTAATCTAATTATTAGTAGCAGTTGCTATAATATAAATATTATATAGGTGATTATTTAAATTTTTGCTATTAATAGAATTTGAACACCTAATTACTACTTGAAAGGTTAATAATCTGATTACTTTACTAGGTCACCACATCTTGTTATTATATTTTAAAATATATATAATATTATATTATTATTTAATAAAGATATACTAAATTGTTTATTTTTTATATATTTAAAAATTTTATAAAAATCTTTAAAAATTATAATAAAAACTTTTAAGTTATATATTTGTTTGTTATAAAATTATTTTATTTTTTTAAAATATTAAGATAAGACTATGCCTCTATTTTTATTAAAACTTAGTTAAACTTATTATAAATAATATATAAAAGAAGTTTATATTTAAATTTTATATTTACTAGATATTAAAATTAAAGGCTTAGATAAGATCTGTAATCTAAACTATAAAACTATTTTATTATTTTGTCTATTTATGATATAGATATTTAAACTAAAATTAAAAATATATTTATATATTTTTTAATTTTAGTAATAAGAAGTGTAATGACTTAGTAAAGTAAATAAGTTGTTAACTTCTAAGTAACAGGTTGTAAGTTCAAAATTCACCAAAGACAAAATTTAAAAAATATTATTTGTATTACAGCAACAGCATTCTGTTGATTAGTTAAAATATAATATCTATAACTATGGTCACAACAGCATGATTGATAGTTCAAAGGTCATTTGTGTAAACTTTATTATACAAAAAATGCAAACTGGTTTCAAGCAATGCAAATATAAGATAAGTCCTTATGACTATATAAATTTTAAAACTAGAAAAAACCAAAGCCTACTTGGAAAGACTTAAATAAAGAAATAGCACAAAACTTTAATAGTATTATTATAAAGACTAGATCTAAAAACAGATACTAATATAGAAAAATTAGGCAAACAAAATCTCAGATAAGAAGTACTATTAACTAGGCTATCAGAAGTTTCAAATCAAAAAAAAAAAATATCAGATATCAGAACCTTAATATATCAAGAACAGGTTATAGTTCTATTAAACTATTTGAATTAAAAGTTTAATAACAAAGCAAATATATATTATAAGTACTAAGAATATATTATGAAGTTGGTACTAAAATTTGAATAAACTTTACAAAAATAATCTCTGTTAATGTTTTATAAAAAATAGATAAACTAGTTAACAAAAGGGTTTTTAAAAGTCTACAGTTAAATAATATACTCAAAAATATATAATGACTTAACAAATATACAGAAAGAAAAGTTAAAGTTAGGCTAAATAGCACTTAGATATACAAAAACTTGTATATTATCTGTTAGATGTAGTATAAAGATTAGAGTATTTAATTTGATAATTTTTTAGCAAATTACAGATATAGCAAATAGTGTAAAACCTGTAAGCAGACTATTTAAATAGATAGCCAAAAGCTGTATATGTGACTAGTGCATATTTATTTTATACAAGTTATATAATTATAATTTTTTTTTTTTTTTGGAGTTAAGGTGAGGTCATGCCTCAGGTCTGTTTATTCGAACATATTGTTACAGTTTGTACA